ATAAATTGATGCTGAAATTGACAAAATTCAACATTAGTTCATGATAAAAACACTTAGCAAACTAGGAATGAAGGGAACTTCCTCAACCTGATAAAAGGTGTCTACAAAAAGCCCACAGCTAATGTTCTTAATGGTAAAAATTGGAGTGCTCACCACTTGTATTCAACATCATACTGAAAGACCTAACCAGTGCAATAAGGCAAGGATGAAAAAGCATACAGAATGGAGAGAAAATAATAAAATTATTTCTTTTTGCAGATGGCAGGACTATGTAGAAATCCCATGAAGTATACAAAAAAAAAAAAATCCTGTAAGTTTAGCAAGATCAACCCAAAAATCAGTCATACATCACATGAAAACAGCATTTTAAAGTAAAAAAGGAAAAGTCAGTCATATTTCCATATACTAGCAGTGAACAATTCAAAATGAAATTACCAAAACAATGCCATTTACAATGGCTTCAAAACAGAAAGAAAAATAAATACATGTAAGTCCAGCAAAATGTGAAGGAACTGTATGTGGAAAAATGTAAAATGCTGATGAAAGTAAGGCCAGGCATGGTGGCTCACACCTGTAATCCCAGCACTTTGGGAGGCTGAGGTGGGCAGATCATGAGGTCAAGAGATTCAGACCATCCTGGCCAACATGATGAAACCCCGTCTCTACTAAAAATACAAAAATTAGCTGGGTGTGGTGGTGTGCGCCTGTAGTCCCAGCTACTTACAAAGCTGAGGTGGGAGAATAGCTTAAACTCGGGAGGTGGAGGTTGCAGTGAGCTGAGATTGCGCCATTGCACTCCAGTGTGGTGACAGAGCAAGACTTCATCTCAAAAAAGAAAAAAAAAAAGAAATTAAGACCGAATGGAAAGACAGACCATGTTCATGGATTGGAAGACATGAATTAAGATGTCGCTTATCTCCCATTGATCTATGGAGTTAATACAATTCTAGTCACAATCTCAGCAGGATTTTCTTTTGTTTTTTGAGATGGAGTCTTGCTCTGTTGCCCACGTTGGAGTGCAGTGGCACAATCTCAGCTCACAGCAACCTCCATCTCCTAGGTTCAAGCGATTCTCATGCTTCAGCCTCCTGAGGAGCTGGGTTTACAGGTGCGTCCCTTGACACCTGGCTAATTTTTGTGTGTTTTTAGTAGAGATGGGGTTTCACCATGTTGGCCAGGCTGGTCTCAAACTCCCAACCTCAGGCGATCCGCCCGCCTCGGCCTCCCAAAGTGCTGGGATTACAGGCATGAGCCGTCACACCCGGCCTAGCAGGATTTTCTTTTCTTTTCGAGACGGAGCCTTGCACTGTTGCCCAGGCTGGAGTGCAGTGGCGCGATCTCAGCTCACTGTAAGCTCCACCTCCTGGGTTCACGCCATTCTTCTGCCTCAGCCACCTGAGTAGCTGGGACTACAGGTGCCTGCCACCATGCCCGGCTAATTTTTTTTTTTTTTGTATTTTTAGTAGAGACAGGATTTCACCGTATTAGCTAGAATGGTCTTGATCTCCTGACCTCATGATCCGCCCACCTCGGCCTCCTAAAGTGCTTGTTGGGATTACACATGTGAGCCACTGCACCCGGCCAGGATTTTCTTTCTTTTCTTTGTATGTGTGTGTGTTTTTTTTTTAAATGAGACAAGGTCTCACTCTGTCATCCGGGCTGGAAGGCAGTGGCATGATCATGGCTTACTGCAGCCTCCACCTCCTGGGCTCAGGTGCTCTTCCCACTTTACCCTCTAGAGTAACTGGGACCACAGGCATGTGCCACTTTGCCTGGCTAATTTTTTTTGTTTTTGGTAAAGATGGAGTCTCCCTATGTTCCCATGTTGCGCAGTCTGGTCTTGAACACCTGGGCTCAAGTGATGTTCCCACCTCAACCTTCCAAAGTGCTGGGATTACAGATTTGAGCCACCCTGTCTGGCCTCAGCATGATTTTCTATAGATACAGAATGACTGATTCTAAAATTTGCGTGGAAAGGCAAAGGAATTAAAATAACCAAAAAGTGTTATATTGAAAAGTTGAACTCATACTACCCAATTTTAAGAATTATGAGAAAGTTACAGTACTTAGGACTATAGAGATTAATGGAACAGAAGAGAGCATGTAAAAACAGACCCACACAAATATGACTAATTGATTTTTGACAAAGATGTGAAAGCTGTTCAATGGGAAAAGGATAGTCTTTTCAACAAATGTTGTTGAAACAATTGAATGTCCATATGCAGAAATGAACTTTGACGGTAAGCTCAGATCTTGTACAAAAATTAACTCAAAATTATAATCTAAATGTAAAATGTGAAACCATAAAACTTAGAGGAAACATGAAGGAATCTTTATGTTCTGGAGTTAGACAAAAAAATCTTAGATAAGAATTTAAAAACATTCCTAAGAAGAAAAATTGATATATAGGACTTAATCAAAATTTTAAACTTTTGCTCTGAGAAAAACACTGCTAAGAGAATGGAAAAGCAACCTATAGGTTGGGAGAAAATATTTACAAATCACGCCTGACAAAGAACTGGTATCCAGAATGTACAAAGAGCTCTCAAAAGAAATGAGCCTATACAACTCTAGTTTTAAATGGGCAAAAGGCTCACCAAAAAGAATACAGATGGCAAAAAAAAAAAGTTACATGAAAAGATGTTCAACATTATTTACTCATTAAGGAAATACAAATTAAAACCACAGTAGATTCAAATACCGATTAGAATGGCTGAATTTTAAAAAATACCGATAGTGGGACCTGGGGTCACATGCCTGTGATCCCTGCTACTTGGGTACCTGAGATGGGAGGATTGCTTGAGGCCAAGAGTTTGAGTTCAGGCTGGGTGATATAGACCCTATCTCAAGAAAAATCAATAAAAAAATACTAACTCTAAAAAGTGTTAGTTCCATGTTTCAAAACATCATGTTGTACATAAGTATGTACACTTTTTGTTTGTTTTTTAAATAGAGATGGGATCTCACTATGTTGCCCATGCTGGACTTGAACTCTGGGGCTCAAATGATCCTCCTACCTTGGCCTTTTGAAGTGCTGAGATCATAGGCGTGAGCCACCACACTCAGCCTATGTTTTAAAAAGCACTAGTGAGGATGTGGAGCAACTGGAACTCTCATACATTGCTGATGGGAATGTGAAATGATACAGCTACTCCAGAAAGTAGTTTGGCCATTTCTCATTAACATATTTTCCATAAGACCATGCAATCCTATTCTTGGGTATTTACCTTAGAGAAATGAGAAGTTCTATTCATATCAAAACCTGTACATGAATATTTTAGCATCTCTATTTATAATAACCATAAATTGCAGACATCTCAAGTGTCCTTCAGTGGATTAATGTATAAACTATAGTACATTCATGGAATGGAATACTGCTCAACAACAAGAAAAAGTGAACTATTGACAGTGCACCAACATGGATGGACCTTAAAGGCATTATACAGCGTGAAAGGAGCCAAGCTCAAGGCTACATCCTTTAAAAAAAAGTCCTACATACTTACGGGTTTTTTGTTGTTGTTTTTTGAGACGGAGTCTCTCTCTGTTGCCCAGGCTGGAGTGCAGTGGTGCAATCTCGGCTCACTGCAGCCCCAATCTCCCAGACCCAAGTGATGCTCCTACCTCAGCCTCCTGAGTAGCTGGGACCACAGGCACACACCAAGATGCCTGGCTAGGTGGTTTTTTTTGTGGGGAGAGACAGGGTCTCCCTGTGTTCCCCAGGCTGGTCTCAAACTCCTGAGCTCAAGTGATCCTCCCACCTTGGCCTACGAAAGTGTGGGAATACAGTTGTACAGTTGTAAGCTACCACACGCAGCCGGCTTGCCTTTTTTTGTATGGTGGTCTTTTTAAAGAATCTGTATCTCTCTCAGACAGGATTTGAGGTAGCTGCTTTATTCTATCATATAACTTCAGATACTCCCAATTTTTTCTTGGCTCTTCTAATTTTTAAAAATGTTCCTGTGTATTATAACTTCCTTGTAAGTGTTCAGTCACTGTTATTCCTCTGTATATTCTCTTGAGGTTTCTTTATGGAAGGACTCTTCTTTCTCTCTGTGACTGATGACACCTTATCTTACCTGGAACTTTGCCCTTTTTATTTGCTGCTTGTGAATGACCTGGGTTTGTTGGCTTCAGTAGTTCCCTAGGTGCTTTAATTGAAGTTGCCAGCTGGGGTTTATGGTAGTAAGGGGTTGTCCTTTCATTCTCCTACAGAACTGGCCTCAGGCCTTTCCAGAATGGAACTAGCAGAACTCTGTGGTCAGCAAATCCCTTTTTTTCCCGTACACTATATCCTCCCTCCCTCATCCCCCCCTTGCTTTAAAGCTTTTGCATCCAAAAAGAACAGAATCAATTGTTCTGGGGACCTGAAATTACTGGGACCTAGAATGACTCCTGTCCATTGCGTCTTTCCTCAGGAGGCGCTATTGAAATTGGTTAAATGGTCTGTAATCCAGGGGATCAGATTTTGCTCTATCAGCCATGTAACAAAAGCCATTGTATTGTTGAAAAGCGACTACTTTACAAGCAGAAAGAGACAGCTTCCAGTGGTTCACAACACTTGAACAATAATTGTTAGGTAGTTTTTTGGTTTTTTTTGAGACGGAGTTTCACTCTTGTTGCCCATGCTGGAGTGCAGTGGCGTGATCTCAGCTTACTGCAACCTCCACATCCCGGGTTCAAACAATTCTGCTTCAGCCTCCCAAGTAGCTGGGATTACAGGCATGCGCCTCCACACCCAGAAAATTTTGTATTTTCAGTAGAGTTGGGGTTTCTCCATGTTGGTCAGGCTGGTCTCGAACTCCCGACCTCAGATGATCCACCCGCCTTGGCCTCCCAAAGTGCTGGGATTACAGGTGTGAGCCACGGTGCCTGGCTTAATAATTGTTAGTTTTTAAGTGCAGGAATTTGATACAATGTGAGAGAAAGTTATTTTGATGTTTGATATTCTGATTACACCTGTCATTACAAAAGTAAAAAAAGGTTTTTCCCCTCCTTTTTAGGCTGTCATTATTTGTATCAAAAACAAAGAATTTGAAAAGGCTTCAAAAATTTTGAAAAAACATATGTCCAAGGACCCCACAACTCAGGTAAATTTGATACATTTTTGCTCCTGTGACTTACATCCATCTCATTGCTTTTTGTGGGAAAACAAGGAAAGGGTTCTTGGTCAGGAATATTACCTAAATATTCTCCTTTCAACATGTAACACCTGCAGCGAGTTATCTTTTATATCCAAGATAACTCACTGTAAGCTTGACTTTTCAAAATTTAGTTTTCATTAGAGAAATTTACATAAATTCTTCACTTGCCTCATTTCCGTCTGGTTCATAACAGACCATTGATTTAAATGATCAGTACCAGGTATGGAGCTGACAAATGTTGTAATGCTTCTAACTTTATTTACATTAAATGTTGATCCTGCAGATGTGAGGAAGCTTCTCTGGTGAGGACATAGCACCTGTTTCCTGGTGTCAACAGTTCTGTTGGTCCCCTGCTTTTATTTTTTCTTCTTCCTTTTTATTCATTTAAAAAACAATTTTTTTTTGAGGCAGAGTCTCGCTCTGTTGCTCAGGCTGGGGTGCAGTGGTGCAATTATAGTTCACTGCAGCCTCAACTTCCTGAGCTCAAGCAGTTCTTCCACCTCATCCTCCCCAGTAGCTGGGTTCACAGCTGCATGCCACCACACGTGGCTAATTTTTAAAATTTTTTGTAGAGACAACGTCTCTTTATGTTGCCCAGGCTGGTCTGGATCTCCTGAGCTCAAGTGATCCTGCCACCTCGGCCTCCCAAAGTGCTGGGATTACATGAATCATCATGCCCAACCATTTCTTCTATATACTTTTTTTTTTTTTTTTTTGATGGAGTCTTGCTCTGTTGCCCAGGCTGGAGTACAGTGGCTCAATCTTGGCTCACTGCAACTTCCACCTCCCAGGTTCAAGCAGTTCTCTTGCCTCAGCCTCTGGAGTAGCTGGGATTACAGGCGTGTGCCTTCATGCTGGGCTAATTTTTTTGTGTTTTTAGTAGAGACGGGATTTTAGCATGTTGGCCAGGCTGGTCTCAAACTCCTGACCTCAAGTGATCCGCCTGTCTCGACCTCCCAAAGTGCTGGGATTACAGGCGTAAGCCACTGCACCTGGCCTCTATATAAATTTAAATTTCATTATTTGAAAAGGTAATACATGTACATAATACAGAATTCAAAAGGTATAACAAAAGAGTTTAGTGAAAATTCTCTCATCTCTGACCCTCGGCCATCTTCTTCCCTTCACAGGCAACCAGTTTCTTTTTTTTTTTTTTTCTTTTATCCTTTCAAAGATCCTCTATGCATGTGCAAACAAATTGTGTGTGTGTGTGTGTATACAGACATCCACGTATATCCATTTTCCCCATTCTCATACACATGATAGCATATCCTACACACTAATGTGAACACTTTTCTAAATTGCTTTTTTCACTTAATAATATATCTTGGAATAATTCTGTGTTAGCACATAAGGAACTTCTTAATCTGTTTTTCATAGCTGCATAATAACCCGCTGTGGCTGAACCTGATTTATTGACCAATCCTTTGTGTTGGGCTTCCCTTCCTGTATGAGTGCCAGTGATTTGCATTGACGGCATTGCAGAAGTTCTCATAGTGTCTGTCTCACCTCATCATCATTGAATTTTTACTGGAGTTCTACTTTCTCATGTTGCAAATATCGGTCCATTGTGTAGAAGCTGAGAAATGATCTCCTGAATATTATTCGAGAAAAGAACTTGGCCCATCCTGTCATCCAGAACTTTTCCTACGAGACCTTCCAGCAGAAGATGCTGCGCTTCCTGGAGAGCCACCTGGATGACGCTGAGCCCTACCTCCTCACGGTGCGCCTTGGCCCTTCTCCCATAACCATGGTGTGCCCTTGAGGATGTGCAGGGAATCAGAATATCTGAAGTGAAAAGAGTTGATGTGTGAAAAAGACATTGAATTGTGTGCACTAGCTTTCTTAATTAAATGCCTTAAAAATGCAAAAGCAGGCCTGGCGCAATGGCTCACGCCTGTAATCCCAGCACTTTGGGAGGCCCAGGTGGGTGGATCACCTGAGGTCAGGAGTTCGAGAACAACCTGAACAACATGGTGAAACCCCATCTCTACTAAAAATATAAAAATTAGCTGGGCGTGGTAGCAGGCACCTGTAATCCCAGCTACTTTGGAAGCTGAGGCAGGAGAATCGCTTGAACCCAAGAGATGGAGATTGCAGTGAGCCAAGATTGCACCATTGCACTCCAGCCTGGGCAACAGAGTGAGATTCCGTCTCAAAAAATAAATAAATAAAAATACAAAAGCACAGATACTGGCAGAGGCAAATGGAACACACCTGGTCTCCCTCATCTGTCGTTTTTATCTCCTTTATACATGATTAATCTGCCATGGCTGAAGTAGAACATTCGCTTACAATCGATGGTGGTTCCCAAAGGCAATGACTTGTGAACTAAGTTTGTAGGAAGAGTGGTTTGGTAGATATGGTATGATGGAGTTGCTAACAGGAAGAAGGTATGGTGTAGAGAAAGGTGTCACTGAAAGTATAAGGTCAAAAGAAGCCAAATGAAAACATTCTTTAATTGGATCAAAGAGATAAAAGAATGAAAGCAGTGAGGCTCAGGACGGCATAGGGAAGAACTAGACCCAGGCTGTCACAGATGGGAGGCTGTGATGAAGGAACACTGAGTGAGAGTGGTTTTGTTTTGTTTTTGAAACCAGGACTTTGGCTGAGTGCAGTGGTTCACACCTGTAATCCCAGCACTTTGGGAGGCCAGGGCGGGCAGGTTGCTTGAGGTCAGGAGTTCAAGACCAACCTGGGCAACATGGTGAAACCCCGTCTCTACAAAAAATAGAAAAATTAGCCAGGTGTGGTGGTGGGCACCTGTAATCCCAACTACTTGGGAGGCTGAAGTGGGAAGATCACTTGAGGCTGCCGGTGAGGTGTGGTCGTGCCACTGCACTTCAGCCTGGGCAAAAGAAACCAGGACTTTGAGAATGTGGAAAATATTCTGTTTCATAACAGATCTGCCAGGCCCATATTAGGGTAGTGTTCATGATCTTAGCAGTCGTTTGGCAAATCTCAGATTATTTATAAGCAGGTAGTTTGGGGTATTCAGGGAGCAGGTGTCAAGATAGTTGAGCCTGGCCTAGGGTCCTTTCCTTTCCATTCCAGGTAACTGGAAAATATCCTGCTGCTGTCTGTGTGTGGACAGAACTCTTAGCTTTTAGGACACCACATATTACAGATAAACAACTGAAACTGAATGACACTGGACTGATTGGAAATGTCTAAAACTTAAGCCAAGGGAGACAGATGAACAGATGGAGTTAGAGCAAGGTTAGCCTACTCAGGGCTCTTTGTGTTATATAGATAAGGATTCTCAAACAGTTGTTAATAAGACAACACATTTGTAGAAACAATTATAAAAAATTCTATACACAAACTGAAATATATTAGTGTAAGCATGTATTGCCAGGCATGGTGGCTCATGCCTGTAATCCCAGCACTTTGGGAGGCCGAGGCAGGCAGATCACTTGAGGTCAGGAGTTCGAGGCCAGCCTGGCCAACATGATGAAACCCCGTCTCTACTAAAATACAGAAATTAACCGGACATGGTGTTGGGCACCTATAATCCCAGCTACTTGGGAGGCTGAGATGGGAGAATCGCTTGAACCCAGGAGGTGGAGGTTGCAGTGAGCGGAGATCGCACCACTGTACTGCAGCCTGAGCAACAGAGCAAGACTCCCTCTCAAAAAAAAATGTATTAGTTATCTTAAGTTTGAATAAAAAAAGCTTGATTTATAAGTCTTATAAGTTCTCTCCCATTTTATATCCTTCGTTTTATACCTAGATTGGATTTGTAAGTGAACTTGTTTGCATATTGAGTATATTCTTGGTGAAAGAAGCAGAGAATTAATGCAATTCTGTGGCCTCTTCTTCCTGATGACATCCTTCCTTTCCCAGATGGCCAAAAAGGCTTTGAAATCTGAGTCCGCTGCCTCAAGTCCAGGGAAGGAAGATAAACAGCCAGCACCAGGGCCTGTGGAAAAGCCACCCAGAGAACCCACAAGGTAAGAAGATGCTCTCTTGTGATCCTGGGTGAAACACTGGGGTGGTTGTTGGAAGCAGTCTCCTCCTTAGAGCAGGATCAGTTCCTCTCGGCGATCTGACCTGCTGACGTGTTACAAGGTTACTCGTACAGGGCACTGTGGGAGACAGCACACCCTGGGAAGATGAGGAGACAGGACGCCTGGGGTCCCTGACAACTTCCTGATTGGCCATTCCTCAAAGGCTCTTTCACCATTTCTCTCCCTGCCTCGCCCATATTGACTCAGTACTTCCTTGTGGACACCTAATCTCTTCATACATTCAGGAAGCACTGTTCAGATCTGTGAGTCGAATCCCAAAACCAGTTCCTAAAGCAGGGGTTACAAGCTTAGATGCCCTTTCAGGGCCTGGTAGGAAACCTAAAGGAACAAAGTGGACCTAGGCTGAGAGCGTGGGGCCAGGAACCAGGGCATTTGCTTTTCCGCTTCTTGTGGTTGTTGCTCTGTGGGAGTATCCAAGAATGCTCAGGCTTCAGGTGCTCAGATTTTTGTATGAGATGTCCAGGGTTTTCCGTGAGATTTCCCAATTTTTGGATGTTGACAGTTGATCTACTTAAAAAAATTTTTTTTCATGTGGGTTAGACAACAAGGCAGACTGGCAGCTGGATTTGGCCCGCAGGCTGCCAGTTTGCCCCTCCTAACAGTTTTTCCCTGAAGCATACTAACTGTTCCAAATGATAGATGAACTTTGTTTTTAAAAGGCAGTTTCTCATTGTTTCAAGACTGTGTGGCATGTCTTTTACTCTGAGAATTCTCAAGATCCTGTTCATAAATGTGTTGTAGGCCAGGTGTGGTGGATCAGGCCTGTAATCCCAGCACTTTGGGAGGCCGAAGTGGGCAGATCGCTTGAGCCTAGGAGTTCTAGGATACAGCGAGCTGTGTTTGTGCCACTGTATCCTATCGCTCTGTCCTGTCTACTGTCTAGGACAGACTGGCCAGACTCTGTCTCTAAAAATAAAATGAGAAGTAAAATAAAGGTTCTCTAACTTGGAGTTTTAAATTCATAATACAACTTACATATTACATTTAAAGCCTCCTCAACTGGAGGAGTCCTCTATCTAATTTGAAGCTTCAAACTTCAAAAAAGTTGTGGCCGTTTGGATGAGCATCAACAGTGGTGAAAAAGATCTTTGTGCCTATGCTTTATTTGCAGGCAGCTACGGAATCCTCCAACCACCATTGGAATGATGACTCTGAAAGCAGCTTTCAAGACTCTGTCTGGTGCACAGGATTCTGAGGCAGCCTTTGCAAAACTGGACCAGAAGGATCTGGTTCTTCCTACTCAAGCTTCCCCAGCATCACCAGCCCTCAAAAACAAGAGACCCAGAAAAGATGATAATGAAAGTTCAGCCCCAGCTGAGGGTGAGGGTGGCTCGGAACTGCAGCCCAAGAACAAGCGCATGACAATAAGCAGATTGGTCTTGGAGGAGGACAGCCAGAGTACTGAGCCCAGCGCAGGCCTCACCTCCTCCCAGGAGGCCGCTCCAGCGCCACCATCCAAGCCCACCGTTCTCAACCAACCCCTCCCTGGAGAGAAGAATCCCAAGTATGAAGACCTTCTTTGTAGAAATTTTGGGGCTGGTTGGTGGTCCTGGTTGGGCCTGGTATTACTTCCGTGAATGAAGTAACTTTCAGCTAAGTTACCACCAAGGCTTGCTCAGACTGCTAGAATGTGACGCAGGAGCGGGCAGTGACGACGTAGCCATCCCTGCCGGTTCTGAAGCCCCACATGTGGGCTTCCAAGCCTTGCACTAGGGCATGAGTGGGGATGGAAAAGTTTCAGAGCCTCCTACTCATCGCCGCTTTCATTTTTAGCAAACATCTGAGTGTCTTGACTTCTAAACATTAGTCTTGTGTGTTAAAAGAAATTTGTTTGCATTGGGCCACATTATACTTTGACCCTTAAAAAGAGACTGATGAATATGTATAATTTTGCACCCTTCTGAGCATTTGAGACTTGGCAAGTTCAGTAAATACTTACTAATCTCCCATATCCTGCTAGGTACTGTGGGGCAGTGGCTAGAATACTTTAATTTTGCTCCCCATGGTGATTCTCATCCTGGCTTTGAGTTTTGCTTCCCTTTGTGTCCTGTGGCGGATCCTGCCTCCAGGCAGACTGGCCTGCTTGTTCTCTGGAACACGTTATTTGTTTCTACCACTGTACTTTTGCTTCCTCTCATTCCCCACAGTGAACCGTCATACCTCCATCATTGCTTGTCCAAATGCCATTTGTCCTTTAAAGGGAAGAGAAGCCATTGTTGATGAAGTGCTTTCTGGGGGCAGAGCACTTTCATGTGTCATCTTACTGAGTCGCTACAATCCTCACTCTGTGATGTGATATATTAACCCCGTTACACAGAGGAGAAGGGCTCAGAAAAGTTCTTAGCTCACCTGAGGTCACACAGCTAAAAGTGGCAAAGATGGGCTTTGGGAGTTTTAATCCAAGTCAGTCTTGACAGAAAAGCCCATGGCTTGTATACCAACAAGTTGCCTCTCTTAAAATTCTCCTTCCTCAGGCTGAGTGTGGTGGCTCACGGCTGTAATCCCAGCACTTTGGGAGGCTGAGGCAGGCGGATCACCTGAGGTCAGGAGTTCGAGACCAGCCTGGCCAATGTGGTGAAACTCCATCTCTACTAAAAATACAAAAATTAGCCAGGTGTGGTGGTGGGCGCCTGTAGTCCCAGCTACTTGGGAGGCTGAGGCAGGAGGATTACTGGAACCCGGGAGGCGGAGGCTGCACAGTCAGCCCAGATTGCACCACTGCACTCCAGGCTGGGCAACAAAGTGTGACTCCATCTCAAAAAAAAAGAAAACAACAAAAACAACTTCTCCATCCTCCATAGACTCCTCCCTGGTCAGCGCTTCCCTGCTGTAAGTGATCCACCTCATGGATCTCCCAAGGCCACCTCTGCCACTGCTCTATGTTGTAGTATTTGGGGACCTGTGCTCTGGCATGCATTGTACTCGGTGCCCCAAAAGGCTGTGGCATCTGATAAGTGATTTATCCTCAGGTACAGATTTGCACTATGTCACCACTACTAGTATTTGGAAGTGAGTCACCAGCTGGCAAATGGGCATAGCTGCTGGGCAGCGGATGCAGCTCCACGCACGTTATTCTCATTTGATACAGGATGTCATTGGCTCCTCACAACAATCCTGTGCAGTATAGAAAATGGGATGAGGAAACGGGAGAGTGCGGGATTACAGTAATTTTGTAAATGGGAGGATTCGTGAAGGTTTGAGACATACATCCTCTCTCATATGTCAAGGATATGAAGTCTAATGAGTCCCCTAAAGCAGCGGGGGTTGGCAAGCTATGGCCCTGGGCCCAAATCTGCCTGCTGCCTGTTTTTGTAAATAAAGTTTTATTGGAACATGGTCACACCCATCATCAATGTATTATCTAGGGCTGCTTTCTGTTCAGTGGTAGTTTGTTGTGTAATCACAGCAGAGACAGTAAGGCTTGCAAAGTGAAAATACTATCTGGCCCTTTACAGAAAAAAAGAGTCAGTGTCCCTGCTCTAAAGAAGTACGTGTGAGGTGCCCTGGCTGCTTATGGGAAGAAAAGCTGAGCCTACTCAGCAAGGTTTTAGGTGGCTCAGATCTTTTAGAGGAACAAACATTGAGCTGGCCTGGGAAGAATGAGCAGAAGGTCATCGAGCGTGTTGGGGGCTGGAGGACTCTAGGCAGTGGGAACTCCTTACATACAGGCATGAGAAAGCCTGGCGTGCCCCTCAGAGTGTCATGGAGCCTATGGTAGGAGAATACGGTGCACAGGAAAGAGTGAAGGGAGGAGAGTCTGCATGCTGGATGGGCCAGGCCTGGGATTTCTTTTGTCTGGTGTGTCAGACGGGCTCTCAAGCCGGGCTTCATGACACAATGACCTGTGGAATGCTAAAAAAATACATATTTCCAGGCTCCTGGCTACTGAATTAGAAGAGACAGGAGAATACTCTTTAATCTGCTTTTTAAACTATGCCCCGGATAATTCTAATACAACAAATTGGAAGGCCTGATGAGACCCCACTCAGGGAAAGGAGGGAAGGAGGGAGGCTGGAGACTGGAGACTGCTGCCAGGGAGCAGGGAGGGGCAGTGGGATCAGGAGGGAAGGCAGGGTTGGCGGTGTCACCTGGAGGACAGGGCCACCATGCCCCTATCTTGTATCTCCCACAGCACCTTGCACATAGCACGTGCTTACTAGGTACTTATTCACCAAATAAAATAAGGATTCTTTCTTCTTGCATTTTAAGGAGTGAACCCAAAACATCTGTAAAAAGCCAGCAGAGGGTAATATTTTTAGGCATTTTGGGCCACATGTGTTGTCTGTCTGCTCCATATTATTTTCTTGTTTTTTTCTTTTTCTTTTTTTCTTGAGACAGGGTCTTGCTCTGTCACCCAGGCTGGAGTGCAGTGGCACAATCTTGGCTCACTGCAACCTCTGCCTCCCAGGTTCAAGCGATTCTCCTGCCCCAGCCACCATCCCCACCCCTATCCCAGTAACTGGGACCACAGGTGCGTGCCACCGCACCCAGCTAATTTTTGTGTATTTTGTACAGATGGGGTTTGACCATGTTAACTAGGCTGATCTCGAACTCCTGGACTTAAGCGATCCACCTGCCTGGGCCTCTCAAACTGCTGGGATTACAGACGTGAGCCACTGCCCCGACTGTCTTTTTTTTTGTTTTTTGTTAACAACCCTTAAAAAAATGGGCTACCCATTCTTAGCCCAAGCTTCATGGTACACAAGCCAGCAGCCACAGACTGTAGCTTGCCAACCCACGCTACACCATTGCTCTTCACGTTCAAACTGCCAGTCAGGAGCACAAGGACGAGGAAGTGACCTGACTTGGCCAGGACCACTCAGCCCATGACAGTTAGGAGGAGCAGCCAGATCTCAGGCCCGTCCACATGGGAAGTTAGGAGAGGCAGTGAACACATCACCTGAAAGTCAGAGGTCTTGCAAAATCACCACCAAAGCATATATTTGTACAGGTAATAGTGCTGAGAGTTCAACAGAGGACAGGGAGAAGGTGACCTGTGAAGACTGCAGGGAGGGAGGACAGCCACTCAGGAAAAGTGATGGACCAGCCGGGGACTGAGGTTCCAACTGGTTTTATTCCAGCACTGGGATAAGCAGATAGAAAACAAACTGTAACCCCATCTGATTTTTATTTATAAATAGTCATTAACACAAGAATATCCTGAGAAGGAAAAACCTCCTATAAAATGTTTTCACTTTGTCTCAAGCAAATTATTCTCAAGTAACATTTGGGGATAAGATTCAATGTAAAAATGAGAAAGGTCTACCATTTGTCTCAGCCACTTAGCAATTTCATAGAAAACTTATGGAACTCAAGGAATTTTTTCAAGCCTATGTACTTACTCATCAATTTGCTTTTATTATTCATTTGCAGAATACCCAAATGGCATTAAAAATAAGTTTTTTCTTCATGGCGGGCGAAGGATACAGAAATTTGTCTCTACTCTTGGTTAACTTTTGCAGGTCATTTGATTTATATAAATTCTTCGAGACACTGAATTCAGACACTTTCCATGTTTGTAAAAGATGTTATAATTCTGAGGTCAGATTTGTGCTTTGCTCTGTTCCCAGGGCAGTTATTAATCAGGTAAATGCAAAGTTGATTAGAAGAAATGGACTATAATTTCCATTGAATAATTTAGGTTTGGGGTTATTTTCAGCTTTTGTACTTTTTTTTAGCCACACCCAAGCACTTAAATTGTTTCATGTTCACAGGGAGCATTCTTGTTTGCTTCTTACTCTAATCTTTGATGGTATAATTCCCTTGTGGCTCTCTGACAATCCCAATGTTAGTTCAGCTAATATATCTCCAGCTCACATTGGGATCTGTGTTACTGTGCTGAGTGTGCTATGTGTTTGGGATGGACAAAGGAAGATGTGGCCCCCACCTTCAAGGTGGTCCTGGTTAGGGGCACACTGCAAAGTGACAGTTGGTATGGTAGAAACAGCACTGCAGGCCAGAGGGGAAAGGCTTTCTGTGTGTGTTGGGGTTGGTAGTTAGAGAAGGCTTCATTGAGAACCATGGCCTTGAAAGATGGGTGGGATGTCACTTAGCAGGGAATGGACTCCCAAGCACAGGGACTATGGAGAGGCAGGAAAATACAGAGCTTATGGGAGGAAGAAAGAGCAGAACAGTGTGGCTGTGCTGTTTGCCCAGGTGTGGGCATCATGGGGTGGTTGGTTAGAAACTGACGGGCCAGACTGGATGGTTTGGACTCCCCCATACAGGCATATAGATGCCATTGTTCAGGCAGAGAGAAGCCATTAGGGAGTAGAGGAGGCATGTGGTAATTTTAGGATGATTGTCTTAAAATCATCTTTGGCTTTGGAATGGGAAGAGGCTAGCGGCAGAAACTCCAGTTAAGAGGCTAGTGGAATACTGATGAAAGGCACTGTGAGCCTGAACAAGGGGGAGTGGAAACGGAAAAATCAGTCCAGATATAGGAAGAAGGCATGTCCAAGGAAGAGAGGGAGGTTTGCAGGTTCCCAATCAGAAAATACTGAGACCTTTAATAGAATCAAAACCAAACAAGCCAAAAACCAGGAAAATGAACAGATTTGTAGAGGGGTAGTGATGTACTTGATGAATCAGTGCTGAATTTGAGGGGTGTCCGACAGCCTGGGGGGTGTTACGCGGAGATGCCTGGCCAGCCAGGACAAAGGACAGTGGCTTTGGGAGGTGCATGCAGGCGAACCTCAGTTGTGGTCACAATGGGACAGGAAGGAATACAGGGCCAAGAGTGAGCCAAGGCCAGAATCTGGGACAGTCCAGGATGAATTTGTTTCACACCTTGTGCTCTCCTTGATCTCCCCTCAGAGTACCCAAAGGCAAGTGGAACAACTCTAATGGGGTTGAAGAAAAAGAGACTTGGGTGGAAGAGGATGAACTGTTTCAAGTTCAGGGTAAGCAGGAGATTCTCCTTGGCCTCTTCTTGATGCTTGCTGAAGTACAGATGCATGTTACTGTCATGTTAATATTCCAGAAGCTGCTTGTCTCCAAACTAGAAAAAGTTCAGTAAGTTCCCAATCTCATTTTAATTCATGAAGAATCCATTTTATTTTGTTTTTTCCTTTTTCAGACAGGGTCTTGCTCTGTCATCCAGGCTGGAGTGCAGTGGTGTGAACATGGCTCACTGAGCTTCAACCTCCTGGGCTCAAGTGATCCTCCTGCCTCAGCCTCCCAAGTAGCTGGGACTACAGGTGTGCACCACCACACCTGGCTGTTTTTTTCACTTTTTGTAGAGATGGGGTCTCACTTTATTGCTCAGGCTGGTCTCAAACTCTTGGGCTCAAGCGATCCTCCCACCTCAGCCTCCCAGAGTGCTGGGTTTACAGATGTGAGTCACTGTGCCCTGGTCAAGGAGTCAGTCTCATGTCCTCTCCCATTAAATAATGGAGACTGTCAGAGTAACACCTTATGTTTAAAGAAAGTGCTTGGTTTTGTTTTAATAATGCCTATGATATTTAATTATAGTTGATGTTCTTCCTAAAATACTTCAATTAGATGTGGTAGTAGGGGGTCATTCCTTGCATTTCTTGTTTAAGAAAAAAAAAATATCTTAACAGTTTATATAAATCCTTTTTTTGGTTTTTTTTTTTTTCTTGAGACAGGGTCTCACTCTGTCATCCAAGCTGGAATGCAGTGGTGTGATCTTGGCTCACTGTAGCCTTGACATCCTGGGCTAAAGCAATTCTCCCACCATAGCTTCCGGAGTAGCAGGGACTACAGGCCCTTGCCATCACGCCCAGCTAATTTTTTTTGTATTTTTAGTAGAGACAGGGTTTCACCATGTTGGCCAGTATGATCTTGAACTCCTGGGCTCAAGCAATCTGTCCACCTCAGCCTCCCAAAGTGCTGGGACTATACTTGTGAGCCACCATGCCTTGCCAAATTTTTTTTCCTTTTCTTTTCTTTTTTGTTTTGAGATGGAGTCTCACTGTGTTGCCCAGGCTGGAGTGCAGGTTGCTCATTGCAACCTCCGCTTTCCAGATTCAAGCGATTCTCCTGCCTCAGCCTCCTGAGTAGCTGGGATTGCAGGTGTGTGGCACCACACCCGGCTAATTTTTGTATTTTTAGTAATCAGGTTTTTACCATGTTGGGCAGGATGCTCTCAAACTCCTGACCTTGAGTGATCTGCTTGCCTCAGCCTCCCAAAGTGCTGGGACTATAGGCATAAACCACTGTGCCCAGCCCAATTTTTTTTTTCTATGATAAGAAACTTTTCTGGCTAGGCATGGTGGCTCACGCATATAATCCCCAGCACTTGGAGAGACTGAGGTGGGAGGATTGCTTGAACCTAAGAATTAGAGACCAGTCTGGGCAATATAATGAGAACCCCTAGCAACAAAAATAAAAACAAAAATTAGCCAAGCATGGTGTCACACACCTGTAGTTCCAGCTGCTTGAGAGACTGACCCCAGAGGTTGAGGCTGCAGTGGGCAGTGATCATACCATTGCACTCCAGACTGAGAACCGAGTGAGACCTTGTCCCAAAAAAGAAAGAAAGAGAGAGAGAGAGAAACTTCCATAATTAATAACTTCATAGCCTTTGTGTTAGAATCTCTTCCCACCACATTTTGTATTCTAATGGAAATATCTAAGTGCTAAACCTTAATTTAGGGGGTTATGAAGACTTTTGTAACATAGCAACAATAATCCTTTGCCAGTCCCAGAGGTTTTGTCCTTGAAAATTACCTTCACTGGCAAAAATGTAGTTGGTAAGATAAGATCATGTGGAAAGTGGGGGAAGGAACAGAAAAACAAGAAAAAATGACATTAGATATTTAAAAACAACAGGATATAAAAGTTCTAGAAGCCAGGCACAGTGGCTCACATCTGTAATCCCAGCACTTTGGGAGGCTGAGGTGGGCAAATTACCTGAGGTCAGGAGTTCGAGACCAGCCTGACCAACATGGAGAAACCTCGTCTCTACTAAAAATGCAAAATTAGCTGGGCACGGTGGTGCACACCTGTAATCCCAACTACTTGGGAGGCTGAGGCAGGAGAATCACTTGAACCTGGGAGGTGGACATGGCAGTGAGCCGAGATCCCACCATTGCACTCCAGCCTGGTAAACAAG